TATATATATATATATATATATATATGTATGTATGTATATACAATTCTAAGAGGCTTTTTACATTCATATGCAGTCTTCTTACCTTTGAATCGCCTTAATTCATCTTTTGCAAGACGGACAGCCAACGCCAAACCAATTCCAGAGGAGCATCCTGTCACCAAAACCTTTCGTGTCCCCATAACTTTCGTTCAAGGATGATTTCTAATCTGAAACCATTTACAAAGCATTAAACTTTAGTAACACTATATTTGCCATAGCTATAGCCAATTTTCTGTTCAGAATCACGACCATCTTATGAACATCTTCTTTTGGTATGTTAATCTCAGTTACACATGGATCAAAGACGTTAAAATGTCCGCATCAAAAGAAATGTACAAAAGTGTTTTATATTCATAGAAAGCACATTAAATGTAAGTAAAGTGTCTACTTTTAAGGTTTCAAATAAGTTTTTAGAGAATAAAATGTCAAGATTTGGTTTAAATAATGTTAAATTGTCATTCAGTGTAACACAATATTTATGTAAAAATTCAAATATGCTTATTCATTATTGTACATATTAAAATATATAAAAGAATAAGGGAGCATATTAAATTTTATTGTGTTTTAAATGAGTAAAAAATTCTTACTGACCAATGGCCAAAACCTAGGATAGTGGCAAATTTTACAAATGTAAAATTACAACTAATTAGTATTTGGGGTGAAAGTAATTAGTCTTTTAATATGTCATAAATTGATTTTTGTTGTAATTATGCCTGACAAGAATGTTACACTGAATGACATTTTAGTGGGTGTCTTCTGTAAATCAGGGAAGATATTTATCTTTTGCTCAGAAAAACAAAAACAAAATTGCAATTAAATTAAACAAAAAACGTTTTAAATTTTGGGGGAAAAACAACAACAATTTAAAGCAGTAGTTCACTTAGGCCTATTGTTTTTATGCTTAAACCCTTTTTCGTCTTTGACCCACATGTAAATATATTAGGCTACAGCACATAGCAGCAATGCCACGTACATTTACAAACTCTTAGAAATGTAAAAGTCAGTAACTACACTGTAACAAGAGCCCTATATTAAAGCTTCACATTTTTCGTGCTAGGTGGACATTTAAAGGGAAAATAAATGTACAGAGAACACCGAACGGTTTCTGGACTACGGATTAAATCTTAATCAGATTTTCTCAGCACGGGAGCGCGCCTCATGATGAGCCCGTTTTAACTGGTCAGTAGAGATTTGATCAATTTCACATCTAAAACCGCATGACAAGTGTTATGTTTTATAAAGGTCGTCACGTTTTAATATTAAGCTTTCAAAAATGACAGTGACGACAGTTGCACTGCGTGAAAAACAAAAGCACACAACCTGTTTGAGGTGTTCTGGGCATGCATTTACTGAATGCTGCTAAACTGTCCGTTCTGCAGCATGTACAGTCCTGTGTCCTGTTGACAGACCTCTTGTCATCCGATCCTTTCACTCGGAACGCATGAGTTCTGCACAAGAGCCGCACTGTGAAAACAAGTCATGTGCAGAGGTCGCGTTTGCGTTCAGAGAACCCTGGGATTTGAAGTCATTGACTGTATACAACAACAACAACAACAACAACAATAATAATAATAACAGGCTAGTAATAATAAAATTATTATTATTATCATCATCATCATATAGGCATAGAATAAAATATATGCTCTAAATTGTTTTGAAGCGGTTTAATACTAACAATCTATACTGCGTTTCCCAAAAGCATCGTAAAATTAATTAAACCAAATGGAGCTACGATCAATTTAAGCTTACGAAGCTTTTGGGCACGCAGCCCTGAATGATTCTTTTTAGTGAACCGATTCAAGATATCCGAATTACTCCATGAATCCAAATCCTCAATAAAAATTTGCATGAACAGTCAAGAGTGCTTTTATTTTGTGCTCGGTTTACAGCTGTATTGTGTCGACCTCTAGTGGTCATGATGTATTTTTAATCAAACTGAAAGTGACATATCACACTAACTAACATACAGTACTAACAACTACTAACTACTAACATACTGAAATCTCTAAAGGAAACGGTGCCACAGTATAAGGCAAGGCAAGGCAAGTTTATTTATATAGCACATTTCATACACAATGGCAATTCAAAGTGCTTTACATAAAAGAAATGAAAAAATAACAATAAAACAAGGAATTTAAAACTTTGAAAATGATTTGAAAATTGATTTAAGAGGTTTAAAATGAATTTAAAACAGTTAAGAATAGAAAAAGATTATACATAAATTGCACAGTAAAGATTATACTGTGCAATGTCCGAACTCAATCAGTTCGAAGCCCAGCGAGCACAACTCAACACTACGAAAGGAGCTCAAGCAGTTTTTCGGCTGGATGCGCAAACACTCTTACGGCTGTACGGACGTCAGCATCAAACTCTACGACCAATGGCGCGTCTGGCTGCAGAAAGCCCAGAAAACGCACGACCAGGTCAGTAAGGACAAAGCGTACCTCCTTCTGTGACACGTATCAAGACAGCAAATCATTACTGTTGGCACACATGATATAGGGCCTGTGTGAAGAAGAAAAAAAAAAAAAAAAGGCATTTTGCGGTTTTATGTGACCCACAAAAAAGAGAACCAAAAGATCTGTTTATTCTTTTGATCAATAGGCTCACATTTGATTGCATTTACTAATAGCGAAGCATCATATAATCTTCGGACGTTACCACAACAGAGAGGGAACGGCCAGTCAAAGTAATCAGCCGGAATGCTTATAAATTCCTTTTAGGTTAGACTGCGCAGCAAAGCTTCAGCTGCGATCCAACAGAGCCCGAGAAGTCTTGTGTGGCGTTCTCGAACGCTAACCGACATCCGCTGCACGCTCTCTGAACTGATTCAGTGGTTACTGTTGCTTTGGCACTGACGACTTTTGGGAAACTTAGGTCGCTTCATTAGTCTCACTGTCCTTTGAAGAACACTGCCACAAGAATGGCTGGTACCAATTACGCTTCTCTGTCCCCATATATCAACTCATCACATTCACTTGTAAATGCAATGGTCTTGCCTTTCAGGTACTACAAAGCGGTAAATCATAGTGAAACTCTAAAGAAGGCTTGGGAGAGTTTGCGGTGGCCTGTGACGACAAGGTTTTTATCACTCTCCAGTGCTTGGGACTTTAATTTGGATGAGCCAAGACTCTCCGAAGGAATCTGCAAGGAGCCAGTCGTTTGGCGACATGATCTACTGTTTGCCTCCTGCAGTAGTCCCCATCAAATACGTCAAAGGAAGCGCTTTTGTCTCAGACATGTTATTTATAAGGGCATTAAAATATAAAGAAAGACTCCAATTTACGAGAAAGAGCATAAAATGTTAAAAAAGGAGATAATGGGAGATTTTCTCTTTCTTATTGACCTTTCATCCAAAAAAAGGACCTTTGCAAATGACAAAAACTGACAGATTTTAACTAAATTTAACTTGCTAAGAGTGAGAATTTGTAAGCAACAACAACAAAAAAAGAGCATTTAAATATTCATCTCTTAAAGGTGAGTAAATGACGACAAACTTTTCATTTCATTTCAGTGTACTGTCCGTTTAATTGGTAAAGCACAAGTTTAAATCATTTAATTGGTATTGGAAATGCAATTTGCAAATTGTTTGTCCTCTGTGTTCAAAAACATCATGTAAATACTGTATCATTATGTATAAATATTTTTGTCTGTATAAATGTCTTCAAAATATTTAAGGAATGTTCATATATTTTGTAACACATTAGCGTTTGCTGAATATTATTATGTACACAATAATGAACGCTATTTACATTCAGAATGAACTGATTTATACTTTAAATGAACATTGTGTTGGTTTAGCAAACAAAACGTCATAAGCTATTCTCAATGTATACAAAATAATGAAATAAAAGTTGCCAAACTCTGTTTAATAAAAATATGCATTGCAAAGCCTGCATCAGCAGCAGCAATGCACTCTGTCTATACAACGCCTGAGACAACGATCGATACCTTAGATGAAAGGAAAGCTCATAGAGGATCTGAATCCATCTCTGTCTCCTGAGACTGACTGACTGAATCTCACTCCGGCTCCTCCGAGTCATACATGAAGTCTTGCAGAATCTCACTCAAAGCGGCTGTATTCTTTATGATACTGAAAGATGGAGAGAAACAAACAGTTTTTTCATTCGGATGTTTAGAAGAACAATAGGTTTTAATCATTAACCTGATGTACCAAGTACTGTACATCAAAACCAGGATGAAACATAAAGTGATACATATAGTGATATATAGTGGAATTAATAAAAACTTACTATTTTCATAATGAATTATATTAACATTTTAAATGATATTCTATATAAAATTAATGAATTACAGTGATACAATATATATTATACATAAGTGATTAAAATACAAATAAATTACAAAGAATTATTATATATAGTGTATAGAAAAGAATCACCCCCCCTTAAAATAATGACATTTTGTTGTTTGCAGCCTGAAATGAAGACAGACAGTTTTTGTTTTATCCAGCTGTATTTACTCAGTGCAACTTATAACATCCAAGTGAACGATATAATACTAACATGTCAGAAATAAATAAATAAATAAAAACAGAATCACTGAGTTCAGTCCTGAGATCATGAGAAAAGGATCACCCCCCTCCTAAAAATGACTTGTAAACTTCGTTTGTAGCTAATCACCTTCTCAATGGCACACAAAGGCTGCGTCCGAAAGCCTAGGCAGCTGGCTTGCTGCCTCGCTGCCCTATCAGGCAATGACTTTGCAGGCAGTGTTTTTGCACGAAGGCTCCTCATTAAACTGATTTCGGACAGGCTTCTGAGGCAGCTTAACGGTTTAATGATCTACAACAAAATAGAACGAGTTTTGGTGATAACTAAACAAATATTTAATTACTATAATACTGATTTCTCGCTAGAACTAACATCAAAAGTAAAAAAAAAAAAGTTAGTCAGAAATATACATTTACACACAAACTGACCACCAAATGCAACTTTCAGACACCATCTTTATTTTTTAGTTCAACCATCACGGAAGGGAACGCACAGGATTGTGGGATATCAAAGGCAGCGAAGGATACATCTATTGCCTTCAAAAATTGAACAGATGAATGTTTCTCATGAGACAGGAAGTGAAGCTAACTTTGGATTCGGATGTGCCTTGATGCTTTCCTGCCTTAAAATGTGTCCCCCGAAGGCATTTTAGAGCTTTTGGACGCAGCCAAAGCCATTTGACTTTCAACTGTGATCAACTGTGTTCATTTTGATTAGCTCAGCATGAAAAGAGCTTTCCTGGAGCATTTCAGTCCTTGGACGTGCAACTGAAGCAAACAATCAACTATGGGTGGCAAGGCACTGTCAAAAGATCTCTGGGATAATGTTGTGGACAGGCACAAGTCAGGAGATGGATACAAAAAAATTGGTTTTTATCAATGCCTAGAAGCACAGTGAAGT